AATCGTGACCCCTTTGAAATTCAAAGAAGATCCCCGTTTTTTTTTTTGGAAATATTCCAATCGGTTCATTGCTTCGCAACTAATCCGATTCGGGGCGGGTCCAGGATTAAGACTTTAAACCCCTCCCAAAAGGTGGTACTGGGGAGATTCGAACACATGCTCTCACCCCCACCTGCTTAGCTCCCATGCGCCAACTGAGCTACCACCATTTGGTAAAGAAGATCCACGTTAGCTCCTCGAAAGGACTAACATGCGTCTATTTTGTATTTTAGAGGGCCACAAGTCGACTTCTTTTTTTCTAAGAGATTAAATTGGGTCTCGTGTTATTTGTTGAGGATCGAAAAGATACTTTACTGTAGCTTGAAATAACATTTACAAAAAATGAGGAGTAAATATCCTTTGGGTTTCTCAACAAAAAATACGGAATCAATTTTAAATGTAGAAAAAAAGTATATAGAAAAAAGTTATCTACATTAGTCTTTTTTTTAGGGACTAATATGGCTCTTCTTTGAATTTCTGAGATATCAATATTTCAAAGAACTTGAATTTTAGAGAGACCATAAATCGACTTTTTTTTCTAAGGGATTAAAATGAGATCCATGTTTTTTATTGAGGACCCTAAAGCAGTGTTATTAAAACCGGACCGACCCGGCCGGGTCGATCCGGAAACCGGTAAACCGGTCATATAACCGGTCCGGTTGAAGCAACGGACCGGCCATGCATCAGAACCGGTGCGACCCGGTGTGACTCGGCCGGTTTTCATAAAAACCGGTGACCCGGTCGGTTAAACGGTGACCCGGCCCGGTCCCAAAAAAAAATCCAAAATTTTTTATTTTTCAAAAAAAATCATAATGGACATATTTGAATATTTTTTTGCTTATTGACTTACATAAGTTATGTACCTACAATACTAATATTATCTCAATTATGTACTATGCAGAAAATTTTGAATTAATTTATAATTAGAGATGTCGTTTTCTGAACCTAAAGCCCTAGATCACGATCATTATATTTTTGTTTGATCTTTTATTGGATAATAATATGTGATTTATTATTTTTATATTAAAATATTTGAAATTTTTATTATTGTTTTTAGATATTTGAGTATGTTTATAATTTTTTAATATAAATTATAAAATTACGTATAATTACCGGGTCATGCGGTTGAACCAGTGAGCCAATGACCCAATACCTTGACCGGGTTAATGACCGGGCCGGTTTTAATAACATTGCCCAAAAGGGTATTTACCCAAGAATGAGATATGCATGAAATAATAAAGCTTGATATATGTGAATAGTTTTTTTTCCTCTTCTTATTTATATTCTTTTATTTTTTAATGCATTTAAAAATCTTTTTAAATTTTTTTGTTTGGGAGCTGAACCCAACTATTAAATGTACAAATATAAATAAAATTTTTTAGATCCGTCAAACACGTTTCTTTAATTTTTAAGTTTAGGCGGCTAGAACTCTTGTGCCACTCATGAATTGTACTTTATTTCCCGGATAGGATAGTTCTAGATCAGAAATACTTTTCCCTTTTGATCTTTGAGATAATCGGAAATGGCAGAGTACTTTTTCTCTGTTGCTTTCCTTTCCCAGCATCGTATGTGTTCTAGTGTTTGACTGAGATGCAGATGTTGAACCACAACAATACAGCAGCAAAACCCACAGTTTTGTTTACACGTAGTTTTTCTTTTTCATTTGCGTGCACAACTTAAATGTCTCATATGTTACAGTCCATGCGCTGTCCAACCCCTACCAACATCTCTTGTTAACTACTATTGTCACTATTTCTCATCTAAATTACACGCACAGAACCTGACAAACAGAAAAAGAATGTGAAGAAAAAGTGATTTTTATGCTGTGTTAGCATTTACAGATTTTCTATTCTATTATTTTATAGCAAATATTTTTCTCATTTCGTTGGAAATAATTATCTCATTTTATATATTTATTGAATTTTGTGCTAGCTTTTTCTATTTTTTTTTTTTTGTTTTAAAGTGTGGACTCCACATATTTATCTCACACACGTGAAAGAACTATCTCAAGCAACATGAGATTAGTAACTCCCTTATTTCATTATGGTATAGATTTATTTTATTTTATTTTATTTTCATAAATAAGGTTTATTATTAACTGCATGTGGAAGCGAAGATAAAAGTTATATTACAGATAAAGCTATTGAGATTTGATCTCGAAATGCTTTACTTTCGAAAGATGTTTAATATTGTTTAAGATTCTTGGAAAAAATAAAAAGTTAAGTATATAATGTAGGATACAATGCAATTACACATCTTTAAGTTTAGTAATAATCACGGTTGTTTTCAAATGTTTCAAATCAATAAAAATGAGTTTTCAGAAGTCATGCTTTTACATCTAACTGTAAATAAGTAGCATATATTATGATTTTTATTAATGTTTATTATATGTTTTTTGGTAACTTATTTTGGACAACAACTCGATTTTGATATCACACAAATTTAATCAGCTTGTTGTCTCGTTGTCTTTACCCCAACTAGAAAAGACCAAATAAATTCGAAGACGTGTTATTTGCATAATTTATGATTATATTAATTATTAAATTATGAAATTTATAGTTTTTTACTTAATTTTGAGTTAAAATATTTCAATACACTTCTACGTTTTGCTTTGTCACTTTATTCTGAGGAAACTGTCGAATGCTTTTTAGTAAACTTTCACTTTCCACACCTTGCTAATAATAGAGTATTTATTCCTTTAACAACTTGTATTTCATTTAACAGATTCTATGCACATATTAAAAGGAAAGCATGTTGAAAATTCATGGCAATAAAAAAAATTTATAGAGAGAAATTTTCATTTATATGTATTATCCTTAACCCATTATCACTTATACTTGAATTTCCAATAACAATTTGATAAATTCATTCAAACTAAATCTATATCATTAATTATTTTATTATTTACAATATGTAATTTTAAAAAAATATTTTAAATTAAAAAACCATCATAACTATTTCCCACGAGAAAAAAAAAGTAATTTATCTACTTGGTGTCTTTTAGTAAAGCAGAAATATTGTGATTTCTATGATATAAAATTTCTTGCTTAGTTATGTTAGAGTAAAAAAAAAAAACTTTCTCTCGCACTTCATTTATCTATCACTCTTTTAATTAATTAAAAATAAAAGATAATACTTTTCCTCAATACTGTGTGGGAGATGTTATACTTACTATATTTTTTCTTACTGTCTTTTATTATCAAATCTTAATCGTTTATTTTTGTTAATCTAACGATTATAATTTATTATCTCATACTTATTAATTAATTATTAATTTTCAATAAATTATAACTATTAAATTGACAAGAATCAACAGTTAAAATTTAATAATAAGAAATAATAAATATAACCTCCCGAGAAAAAATCACTTTATGGAAAATAAAATAAAATATCCAGAAAACCAAGCATCTACTAACGGCGTAACTTTCCCACGTTTTTTTTCTTATGTACATTAACGGCGTCAAAGTTAACGGCGCTGCTCCACTTCTCTGCTTCTCTTGTCTTCTCTTCTTTTCTCATTTCTTTTCCTTCTCTTTCTCTTCTCTCTGCAACTCTCTCTCTCTCTCTCTCTCTCAAATTTTATTTTCAAGTAAAAGGCGCTCTCTGCACCCTTGTTTTCGTGAAAGGTACGCTTTCATCATGTAACGTTCCCTTATATTCTGTGTCTGTATACGGAACATTCATATTATTTTAATTATTATTTTTTCTTAATTTTTTTCATTTTAAATAATGCATTATTTGTTATTAGTGTTATGTGAATTAGATGGTTTTGCCTGTGTTTTCCGGTTTTTCATCATTGATTTCGGATCGTTCTGACTTTTTTAAGTGTGTGTGTGTGTGTGAGTGCTGATTTTTATTTTTTATTTTTTTTCTATATTTGTGGTGTTGGATTTCCCTTATTGGATCATATCCGAAACCCCTTTTTATTTTTATTTTTTTAAATAATTATTTTTATTTTTCTGGTGATTTGAGGTTGGTAACACTAAAACCCAAGATAGAGTAGAATGTTTTATTGAAGTGTGTTGTTACATAGACACTATGCTGAACTCTTCTGTATGGTGTTCATTTCACTGCTAATGTTCTACTTGGTTTTATAATTATGGTCAGTTTAGTATCTCCTTGAAATTTGGGTGAAAATTTTGGGATGAGTTTCTCACTTTCTTGTACGAATTTTCGTGATGAAGTTTTCCCCTGAATTCTCGCCCTTGTGAACTGAAAACTAACATTTTTGAAAACCAAATTATGTAGATTTAGATGAACTGTTTACTCTTGTTTCTGCAATTGATTGTCCTCACACTTCTTTTGCATAACCTTTTGTTACTAAGCTTGTTTTTAATCTTTATCTTCCATTAATTTTTTTTTCCTATTTGGTGGGGTATTTTAATTTTCAATTCAGCTCAGTTTAACCTGTAGGCTTAATAAGTGGGGTCAGAAATGCAAATAAATTTGAATGTGTCAATAAATTTCAAACTTAACCTGCATAATTTATGTGGATAAACATATTGACTCTATGAATTTTCAATTTTGCCTGTCCTGACAATCTTACTCAGACGTCCAAGAGCATTAGATCAAGCCACATAAAATCTCTTTAGGAACGGTTTAATTCCAAGACCAAACCTCATCCAAAGTCATTTTGCTTAAACCTTTGCATCTTGACATTTCGTCTTAACAATCCTATACACCAAAAATAAAATAATAAATTAAATATTTAGTTTAGGTGTGTCAGTGGAGACGAATCTGGTGGAAGAGTTCAAAATGAATGAAAAATCACTACATGCTTGCATGTTTAGATAGCATAAAAATTGATTACCCTTTATATTCCATCCTTTGTTAGTTTTATGCTATCTCTATTCTCTCACTCATATTGCTTCCAAGGGAAAAACATGTTTCCAATTATTCCACTGTACACATCTCTGTCAAGTTCCAATAAGTAAAAGCTAATACACACACTCACACATATATATTTAATTGATCAGCATTCAACTCTTGAATGCACAGGTGATAAGATGATAGCGAATGTAAAAAAGGATGCCTTCGCTCTTGCTAGCATCTTATTCATGTTTTCAATTTTATGTTTTGAATAATCTACTTAACAGTGAATTTATGCCTTGTGAAGTTAGTAGTTTGATTCTTTTCTGTTTTTGTTTTTCTTTATAAGTCTTATGGACGGGAAAATGAAATAGAGAAAGACAATGGGGTAGGATGCTAATAAAGGGAAAAAAGGAAAATCCCATGGCATAAGGCTCCCCGGCTTTGCAAGGGTAGAGGTGAGAATCAATTTTACACAAATTTACCTTTTTATTTTTGCAAAGAGACAGTTTCCTAGGCTCAAACCTCAAACTAGTGATCTTTTGATCACAAAGGAACAATCTTACTATAGCTCTAAGGCTTGCCTTCAGGATAGGATTCTAATAAGTAATAAAAAAACATTGACATAAAAGTCATGGTGTTTTTTATTAGTTTTATTGTTTAGCCGTACAGAATAATAAGACCTTCAACATATTAAGATAAAATATGTCCTACTCTCTTTGTATGACCGCATTTTGTGAGTCGTATCCATAATAATAGGTGCATTGTCATTGATAGTCTTTGAATTAGTCAAAGATACGTTAATGTTGAGTAAAATTTATAGCTATTTTCTTCTCTTAATCAATTTATTATTTTGTTTCTAGAATTGTAAGTGTAAACTGAGTTATTGTAATTGAATGAATTTTGTGAAAATTATATTGGTTTTATGGTTTAGCCTTATAGAATAATAAGACCTTCAATATATTAAGATAAGATATGTCCTACTCTCTTTGTTCGACCTCATTTTATGTGTCGGTATCCATGATAAAAGATGCCATGTCATTGATAGTCTTTGAATTAGCTTGCTCTCTTTGTGTGACCGCATTTTATGTGTTGGTATCCATGATAAAAGATGGATTGCCATTGATAGTCTTTTACTTAGTCAAAGATACGTTTGAGTAAAATTTATAGCTATTTTCTTCTCTTAGTAAATTTATTATTTTGTTACTAGAATTGTAAGTGTAACCGAGTTATTGTAATTGAATGAATTTTGCAAAATTCATATTAGTTTCATGGTTTAGCCTTATAAAATAATAAGACCTTCAATATATTAAGATAAAAGATGTCTTACTCTCTTTGTGTAACCGCATTTTATGCGTTGGTATCCATAATAAAAGATGCATTGTCATTGATAGTCTTTGAATTAGTCATAGTCAAAAGCTATCGATGATGCGTTAATGTTGAGTAAAATTTATAGCTATTTTCTTCTCTTAATAAATTTATTATTTTGTTACTAGAGTTGTAAGTGTAACCGAGTTATTGTAATTGAATGAATTTTGCAAAATTTATATTAGTTTTATGGTTTAGCCTTATAAAATAATAAGACCTTCAATACATTAAGATAAAAGATGTCTTACTCTCTTTGTATAACCGCATTTTATGCGTTGGTATCCATGATAAAAGATGCATTGTCATTGATAGTCTTTGAGTTGGTCATAGTCAAAAGCTATCAATGATACGTTAATGTTGAGTAAAATTTATAGCTATTTATTTCTCTTAATAAATTTATTATTTTTGTACTAGAATTGTAACTGTAACCGAGTTATTGTAATTGAATGAATTTCATAAATTTTCAAAATAAAAATAGTATAAAAATAGAAAATAGTCAAAATATGCTTCCATCTTGTAACGTTTCCTCGTATTTTCTGTGTCTGTATACGGAAGATTCCTGAGTGTGTATATATATAATATATATATATATATATATTATTTTATTTTATTTTGATACACGTATATATATATTATTTTGGTTCATGCTCTTTTGTGTTCTTGCCAGTGTTTTGTTTTTCTGGGGATTTGAGGTTGGTAACACCAATACCCAAGATGAGAGTAGAATATATATATATGTTTTGTGTATTGTTACATAAATACTATACTGAACTCTTTTGTATGGTGTTCATTTCACTGCTAATGTTCTATTGATTTTTTTCGCTTTTGCAGTTGCTTTCTGAACTAGGGTCAGGTTAGTATTCACTTGAAACTTGGGTGAAAATTTTGGGATGTGTTTCTTGTACAAGTTTTCAAGATAAAGTTTTTCCCGGAGTTCTCACCCTTGTAAACTGAACACTAACCTTTTTGGAACCCAAAATTATGTGGATTCATTTAGATGAACTATTTACTATTATCTCTTAGTTGATTGTCCTCCTACCTTTTTCCATACCCTTTTGTTACTGAGCTTGTTTTTCATGTTTATTTTCCAGTCAGTTTTTTCTATTTGATGGGGAATTTTAATTTTGAATTATTTTTAACTTCAGCAATTATGCATTTGACTGTCACATTATGGATCTTTGCAATTGATGGTGTTATCTTTTTCATCACTGTTCCAGGGAGAGAGCTGTGTTCACTAGTGAATGGGTGGGGTGCTACTGGCGGTTGTGTTAATATAAGAAGCTAAATATTGTTGTCTGATTCAGAATGGGTGCTGCTTGTTGTGTTGCAACCAGAGATAAAACTATACAAGGTGGATCAACCGGTGAAATCTTGCATCGGAACATTCGGTGTTCTCCGACATGGAGCTTCCGGTGGGATCATCGAGGGCGTGTAGCTGGTGAAGATACTTCTATAAATTGGTTTTCTGATAGTATTAGCAGGAACCATGAACTGGAGAATAAAAATGAATCATCATATGTATCGGAGGATGGAAGCCCCTTGCAGAATTATCAAAGGAATACATGGCAAAATTACCCAATCTCTGAACAGACTGCTCAACATGAGATAACTTCGTCTTCTGGTAATTTTCATTGAATCAACTCCCTGGTTTTAACCATTCACCTACTTGGGTTGGATTCTTAGAATTGGAGTTTTCATTAGTCATTAAACTTGTAATCATGATGGCGCTGATGAATGTCCTTGCTGCATGATAAGCTCTTGATTCGATCTGAATATTTGTGCCAAAACAGAAGCAAATAAACCCTTTTTCCTTTAAGGGGCCATTTGGATAAGCTTTTAAAAAAGTTATTTTATGATAGTGCTTTTTTTATTGCTTTAGTTTTTTTTTTTTTTTTTTAAATCTTATCTAATTAAAAAATTTATACATATTTTTTTAATATAAAAAAGCATGTTTTTCTTTGAAAAATCCCTAAATTATACTGAATTTGATGGATGAACTCAGTGATTTTAATCCATAACTTATTAGTTTAATTTGAAGGAAACAGGCTTATTTAGTGCTTACCATGGGATACCATTTTTCTCTTGGAGTTACTAAAATATTGAAGTACTGTCATAAAGTATCTGTGCTTACATCACCCTTTATTGGTTAGCCTTTGCAGTGTACTAAGCAAAAGGGACCCTGAGCCCCTGAGTGCTTGTTATCTTGAGTATGGAATTCAAGAAAATGTTTGGTGAAAGTCTGTTTCAAGTGGCATCAAAAGGCTTCACTCTTTGTTTGAATAGATTTTTGAATCCGTTTGATTGACTGTTGATATTTGATAATCTGATATATGTGACAGTGTTGAATGTGCATGAATGGATAAGTTTCTCTCTTTGGCTCATCGTAGTCCACTGCATGGATATCAAAACCGAATGGAAAATCTTGTATGCCACGATCATGAAAACTTCCCTTATAAACAGTAACAATCTAGGATGAGGGTTCGTACTTCAAAAAAAGTTGTATATTGTTTTTTTCTTCTTCTCGTAGTTCTGTGTACCTCTCCCCGAAGGCTAAGCATTAACTGTGTATAGTTAAGGTGGCTTCATTTGGCTTGCTTCTGCATCCTTTCTTGATGATCCATATGCACCAATGCAAGGCAACGGTCCTGCTATTAAAATCTGTAGAGTGACCCTGTTTTAATTGATGTGGTAAATTATTATTCGCTCAATGGGTTTATTTATAGATCTGACATGCTTGTTCATGTTCATTTCAGATCAATCTATTTCTCAGAATGTCTCCATGGATGTGAGCATGGAACAGGTGAAGTTCCTATAATGAAGGAATCTGTTATTAATTTATGTTTTTGTTAGACTACTTGTGGTCTATATCTGATTTCTTTAACACACTTTCTACTTATGAATCACTCTGTAGGTGAAGGAGTTGGCAGAATCATCAACAGTATCATGTCCATCACCCACAAAACCTTTGTGCTTATTGCCCTCTGCTTCATTGTCAGCATCTCCTCTGCCATCCCAGAGTCACCTATCTCCATCCAGCTCAACACCACTAAGATGGCCCTGCCATTCCCCAGGTCACCAACTATTACAGCAAGTTTCTGATAGCCGAATCCCAGGATTTAAGACACCTAGCAACTTTTATCTCTCTGAAGAAAAGCCAGTGTTTCATTCAGGGAGCAAGGAGTTTGATATGCACTCTCTTGGTGGATCTTCAGATGGCTGGTCTAGGCCTGGCTTTTCTGAGCTGATGGGCACTTCCCACAAAGAAAGATGGTCGTTTGATAGTGAGTCATTTGGTTTTAATTGTGACAGGTTGGTTAGATCTGGTGGTCGGTTTTCAACTTCTCCAGTTGATTGGCAAACATGTGGTATTTGCTCAAAACTTTTAACTGAGAAGTCTTGTTGGAGCACCCAAAAGATAATTGCAAGTAATGACCTTGCTGTAGTTTCTGTTCTTATTTGTGGACATGTCTATCATGCTGAATGTTTGGAGTTTATGACACCTGAAATCGACAAGTATGATCCAGCTTGCCCAGTTTGCACTTTTGGGGAGAAACAAACTCTTAAGTTGTCTGAAAAAGCTCTGAAAGCTGGAATGGATATGAAGGCTAGAAATAAGAAATCAAGGAACCAAATTGTGGACAGTGATGTTGATGATGATTTTATTGTGTTTGATCACTTTGAAGATACTGAGCGTCAAGGTAAAGGTCCTAGAATGGGCTCTAGTTCTAGTGGGAGAAGCTTTACTGGGAAACCTTTTCTCAGGAGACACTTCTCATTTGGGTCAAAGGGTTCCAAATGCATGTTAGATAATCAACCAACACTAAAGAAAGGCTTCTTTTGGGCAAAATCTAGCAAGGAATAAGCTGTTTCTTGGTTGTTGAGAGGTGAGTTGCATTATATTCATTGTGTTGCTTTCACTAGTTTATCAATAGCATCTTTAAAGTTGTCTTGTTCATTACATTAAGTTGAAAAATAAATAAATAAGAATTTTATACTTTTCCCTATTGTAGTTAGCTGTTTATTTCCTATGTTTTTGTTACGATCCAATTGCAAGGTCCTATTGCAAGATATGGGACTTGGAGTCCCTATCGGAAACATAAGATTCTGGTGTGGGGTTTATATGAACTCTGAGCTCTCTTACCTTATAAGCTAGCTTTTGGGATGAGGCTCTCGCAAGGTTTGTATCAGTTTTCAAACCCCGAGCAGGCCAGCCATTCAGACCAGGAAAATCAGGAACCGTTCCCGGTCAACAGCAAAAAACTGCATAATCAAAAACCAGCCAGAATATTAGTAAATCAGTGGTGAACCCAAACCTTATGAACTGGTCAAATGGTTGAACTGCTCAACTTTTCTTTTCATAAGATTAGTTAAAATATTTTTACAAGACTAAATTGTTTGGTTCCTAATTTTTAACTAACACTCACACTTTCTCCTTTTAATTTGACCAATGAGAGAAAAAAGGAATTCGTAATGCAAGAATGGTTTGGCTCAAATTGATATTGAGAGGCGTTACCCCTTCCCCCTTTACTTATTCAATCTGGGATTAGCACAAGATGAGAAACTTCTCTTCTTTCTTTTTAGTTATTTAATGTGGGACTGGCATATGTTAGAGAAAGGCACGAGTACAATATTTTTAGTTTAACACTTCTATGTGCTAAATCAATTTAATTATGTTAGAAATAAGCTTCAATATTTTTTTTTCTCTGATTTTATTTATACACTTAACACATGTATATTATATTTTGTTACATATGTGTGTGTACAGAACCCCAGTTCCACCTTGTTGGACCTTAAAATCTTAAACTTCTTCTCCCTTTACTGGTTAAGTTCAATGACTGGTTCAGTTTTGGAAACATTAGTTGTTTCCAGTCTGCAACAGAAATTTAACTTCAAAGTCCAAATGTTTGATATAATGGAGCTTATAGCATGCTAAAAATCCTCTGCAGTTATTTTGAACTTAGTTCGTGTTTATTTTCCCTTCTTTAAAGCAGGTTTTATTGTTGATCTTCTCTACAAGATAAGAAGACTGAGGAAATGGCATGATGTCATTCAGCAAGATTTGATTTTTGAGCATCTGCATATACTAATCCGTGATTTCGAAAGAATTAGAAGCTGGGATTACTCTGTAAAGAAGAGAAGTGGAAAACATACAGAAGGATAAGATAAACATAGGAAGACAAAGATAGTGTTTAAAGACCAACGGTCTTGTTGCTTTGTACAGATCGATCTGTTTATTTCATGGATATAATTCGTATATCCAAATGATGTTCTGTTGTCCATTGTTCTTCTGATATGTAATACAGCATACATTCCATTAGCCCTTGGTTAAGTTAGTTGCTTTTAATTAAAGAACAGTTTCAGAAGAACCTTGTATTAGATCAATGCTTTTTGTTGGTAGAATGATTTATGTTTTCGGTGATGCTGGTAGCAGATTGAATTATATGCTTTTTCATGCAGTGGTTGTACGCTACCAGATTATGTTGCTTGCTGACTTTATGTTGAATCGCCAAGCCTTTTAAAGTTCATCAAATATACACACAAACTGATGTTGCTTGTGACTATAAAGAGTTCCATGCACGTTTCAATTTCTGATTTTCATAACTTTTATTGATACGTCCCCATGAGTCATGATTTGACATGAGAAAAAGAAAGTCTTTATCAATAGATCCTTTCTACTATTAAATGGGCGACAAATAAGGCATATGTCGACATTAGAATGGAGTGGAATAAAATCACATTAGTTGTCAATGAAGTGTAAGATTTATTTCACAAAGTCGAATTTCTATTTTTGTAGTAGACTGTAGAATTTGTAAGATAATTTGTCTTTGTTTTGGTTAAAATAATTAAAGTTTAATATATTTAAAGTAAAAATAAATTTTTTTAAAATACATTATAAATCTTATTATTCTATTTCTTTCCACCAATGCATTCAAACAATGGAATGAAAAATAAAAATTCATTCTATTACGAAATATTCAAGCAATATAATTAGAACTTGTTCATTACAAAGAATTCATTTCACAAGAACGGCAACTAACGGTCGGTGATGCTTTTTAACTCCAGTTACCGGATCAGTGTCACTAAACCCTATATAAATTAGGCTTTCGTCTTCTCTTCACTTCGTGTTCAGTCTCTAGTTACTTTTTTGACGATTCATTCTCTTCGTCTTCAGCCTTCAATTCGTCTTCTTCTCGATGCTGAATCCTAGTTTTCTCGCCAAGCTTCTAGCGGCAACTATGAGGAATGACAAGGATTCCAAATCCAACGATGAACAAGATAATGGTTGGTATAATTTTTTAAGTTCTTCTCTCTTCTCTCTCGTTTGCTCTGATACTAATGGTCATCAAACATGAATTTCAAGGTTTTGCAGTACAATTTGGTATATAGTGGAGGGCTCACTTCTTCAAGCCTATTAAGATTGAACCAAACTCAAGATCGAGAAATTTGAAGAAAGTTAAACGGAAGTAAAAGAATTGACGAAGTGGATGAAGAGGTATATGAGTTTTGATTCCTGTTTGGTTTTTATGTACCCATATTCTTCTATGAAACATACTGATTTTGATTTGTAGAACATTTTTTGTTGTGAATGATGTAAATATGGTTTTACGAAGCGGTGATGGCAATGTAAATATGGTTGATTGCTGTGTTTGTATGCATTACAACTTCTTCGATAAAACATAGATGTTTGAATTCATCTTGAAAAATCCAAGAACTTAGGTATCTAATTGAAATCAATTAAAGGGCTTTCTTATATATATATATATATATATATATATATATATATATATATATATATATATATATAAGTAAAAAAGAAAGGTAAAAGAAGTAGAGGAGAAATGAAGGGGAAAAGGACTAAAAATAGACCATCTAGAACATAAGAAAATGAAAGTGCAAATTATACATACATATATGAAATTTTCATGTGCTTTTTATGTACATTTTCATGTGCTTTTTATGTACATTTTCATGTGATCTTTTCTAACATTATTTCATGTGATGTTAATGAAAGCTTACTTCACGTGTCAATGAAAATTAATTTCATGTGGTCTTTGTGAATAAATTTTTTTACTTTTATATTTGAATTTGATTTGGGCCTATAAACTTTAGTTTGCAACTTAGTAGGCCTTACAAGTGGTATTCGGTTTTTTTAGTTTTTTAATAATATGGCAGGCCATAAATCAAGTATTTAATAGACTAATAGGTCAGTATAGGTTCCAAATATTTTACATAGGCTTAGGCTATCAAAGCCAAAGTTTGGCTTAACTTGGCTCATTTATACCTCTAGATGTGACCTGTGAAGAATATTAACATAGAGGGACAACAAACTTCACAATTAAAAAGAAACATGGAATAATTAGCGACAAATGTCTAAAATCATTTAAGTGACATTGGATCCACATAAATCATTTAATTAGTGTTTAGATATTTTAAAAATTTTCATACTCCATATATATACATATATCTTCATTGATTTTTCTCTTTAACAGTTTTCACTAATTAATAACCAAAATTCACATTCTTGTTGTGAAATAAAATACAAATAACACCAATAAACAATTCAATTCCATTACCAATAGCAATTGTAGCTCTACATTAAAATATATATATTTTTTAAAAAGGTAAACGTAAAACAACACTCCATTTTTTCAAAAGAAATAAAATCAATAACTACAACCACAAAAAAAAAGAGTTGTTAATAAAATAAAGAGGGCGTGAATTTCACTTATGTTAGAAACACCCAATAAACAATTATGGCCAGCAAAGACAAAAAATTTCACTTTTATAAGGTCCAAAAATTTAAATCAAATTTTTTCGCCAATGGACAATATAATTACCAATGCATATTCCAAGAACAGGTATCCGTAAAATCTTGAAGAAAGGAACGAAACATCGTGCCTTGTCGCAGAATGGATGGGTTCCGGGTAGTGAGTGTAAATAAGAAAAAAAAGTTAGAAGAAAACCTCAATTGGAAAAAGATGAAAGAAGAAGAAGAAGAAGAAGAAATTAAGAAGAAAGATATATGATATCTAGTCATACACGGAAAGTAGCTCCATATCTTCATTTGTTTCCACTGTTACAATTTTAGCTAGGGTCAACTTACAATTTTAGCTAGGGCCCAATTATAATTACTTATATAATTATATACACGAAGGAAAGTTCTCACATTTGGGAATTAGATTTTTGACTATTCTTTGTGTGCAATAACCCAAAACACAATAGTTCAATAGACCTTCATATTTCATAATTATAGTCCCGTTATTCATTTGGTTTTATGATTGTTACTTTCAAGGGTTAAGTGTTTGTTCTTTTAAAGGACACAAATTGTATCCTTTTAATTTTTAACACTATGTCTTACCGGTAAGACAATGTCTTACCGGTAAGACATAGTTATAACATGAAAAATAATTTTTGTTCTCTCCACGTTAGCTCAAGTGACTGAGGAAATAGAAAAAAAGTAATTTTTTATATTATAACTATGTTTTATAGGTAAGATATAGTGTCAAAAATTAAAAGGATACAACCTTGTGTCCTTTAAAAGGACAAACCATTTTTCTACTTTTAAATGTGTTTATTTGGTTTAATTGAGCCCATATTTTGAAATAGGTTAACTAATCATTTTTGTGATTAAGTTTAGAAGTCTTTCTTTCTTAAAATAATAAGAGTAAGAATAAATAACATAACTGATTAGAATAAAGCAGAAAAAAATATACAGGATAAAAAATAAAAAAAGCTAAAACACAAAAATAACCATACAATACATGTTCCTTATTATTTGTTTGCATTTAAATGATTTGTTGTTACTTTTTATTGAGTATTTGATTTTCTATTTAGGTGGTGCCAAATTATAATTTTTATTTTAGTTAATTATATAATAAGTAAAAAAAAAAATGAACAAGTGCCTTGGCACCTGCGGGCTTGGACGTGGCTACCCCACTGTTTACATCTTCCATCTATTTGTTTCTGCTATTATATCTGCATAGTGCAATGTTATTGTTTGTAGTGATGTATCATTCTTTCATACACATAGCATACAACTGGCGCGTTAATACCTAACTGCTGGTTTACCATTTACCTCTTTTATTAAAGCTTTATTTGTTTATTAGGTTCTAGTCTTAGGCACAATGATGCCCCTTTCGCTAAACTGAGTTCTTACGATACAAATCTTCACCTCCTCGCAAAATGATATATGCATTTCCTTAACAATTCTCGATAGACCCAAACCTCCAACTTTACTTAAACAACAAAACATTCTTTTCAATATTTGAATTTTACCAAAAATATTGCAAAAGTTAGGTGGTGTCTAACGATAATGGTTATTGAAGAGAATAGGGATATTTTAGTCTTAAAATTGCTAAGTATGCTTAATTGTTCTAATGTGATAGATGAGGAAGGTTAATTGTCTCAATTAAAAGTGCAGGGTGGTTTTCTGAAAACCCCACTAATAATAGGGTGGTTTTATGTAATTTTCCCAAAATTTTAATATGGTATATAAGTCCGTTTGGATGGACTTTTTTTTTCTTCAAAAGCTACATTTTTTTAAGAAAAAAAAAACATTTTTCGAAAAAAATCTGTTTGGATATCTGCTTCTAAAAAAAGCAGAAGTAATAAAAAAGTCAAAAACTTACTTTTTTCGGAAGCTAAAAATTTTAGCTTTTAAAAAAAGCAGAAGTCAAAAGTCAAATATTTTTTTCAAAAATTAAATATTTTTTTTAAAATCTAAATAGCTGTAACTTTTATAAAAAAAAATACTTTTAAAATAAGAAAGTGATAAAAAAGACTTTTATAAAAAGTCAATACAAACGATCCCTTAATTCTGCCGAACATTTAAGCGTATAATCATAGAATCAAAGAGAATGAACATTACGGGTTAGGAAATGCTCTCACTGTAGGTCTTTGCCCACTGCTATACGTGGTACACTCTTGAACCGTTGGGACTTGTAGTTGGTCTATGCTTAATTGTTTCTGACAGAGGATTTCTATGCACGTGACACTTGGTAAATTCAACCTGATGGAGCTAATAGCAAATCCTAAAGCGTGAAATTTTACCAATTTTCTTTTTCTTTTTTCTTTTAGAAAAAAGTGACACTATTGTAATGTGCTATTTTAGTCGATATCCCTAGAGAGTGTTTAATATAAAAGGCATCAAGTTATGTACCAAAAAAATTGCAAATTCCTATTTTCTCATTATATAAGTGTGGGTTTTTATACCATTCCCCTAACACAGTCAATAATTTACTAAATTTCAACTGTATATCTCTACTCGTATAGCACATTACAATAGTGTCACTTTTTTCTATAGAACATTTGATTTTGATTGAAATATGGGTTTGACTGGTTCGATCCCGTTCGGGCTAGGACAGTCTAAATGCATCTACATAGCGAGCGTGGTAGATGCGTTTCTTAATTCCCTTCTTTTCAAGGGTACGAATACTTATCTATTTAATTTATCTTAACCTGCCGAGAAAAGGGGCAAGAGGTACCTCACATCGAAAAAACAAAAAACATTG